AGTTTAGTTTTGTGTTTAGGAGTTCTGGAGGTTTTAATTCCATTTTCATCCTTTTTCTTGTGAAAAGGACCATTTCAGTCTTGTTAGGATTGAGAGACACTGACTGATCCTTAGACCACTTTTCTATAATTTTGAGAGCTACTTGCATTCTTTCTCAGAGTATGTTCTCAAAATTACCTGTTTGCAGAATAACCAGGTCATATGTATATGCTATTGTGTAGTGACTCATTATTGAGGCGGCTGATGAGGGTGTCGAGGACCATGTTCCGCAGTAGAGGTGATAGCACCCCTCCCTGTGGACATCCCCTCGCAACCAAGCCTCTTATATTCACATCTTCTACATATATGTTTGATGCTCACTTTGAGAGCATTTTATGTATCCACCCACTAACCATCTGTGGAACATTCCTGTTGGTTAGTAAGTGTATTATCTTGGGGAAGATGGTTTTATCATGTCTATGAAAACATCCAAGGCGGACTCCATATTGTCCAGGGATCTCTCTATCCGGCCAGCAACTAGATAAAGGGCTAAATCAGTGGATCTGCCTGGGGTGTATGCATGTTGGTTTGGTTATAGTGATGTTGTTGTAATCACCGCATCCCTTATGTATCTTTCGCATAGCCTTTCCAATGTCTTCATGGAAAACGATGTCAGACTAATTGGTCGGTATGTTTTTGGGACAGTGTAATCCTTCCTTCTAGGTTTGGGTATGAATACCACTTTTACCTCTTTCCATTTTTTGGGGATATACTTCAGAGCTAACGAGGATCTGAATATGCGCCCACCAGGTGCGGTGTGAGTTTTTCCAGACCTCACTGAAGTAGGGCTGGATAGATACATTTAGGTCCTGGTGATTTAAATGGAAAGAAGCTGGATATTGCCCATCTAATTTTATCATCGTCTACAATGTGTGTGGCAGTTTGACAATCATAGACAGATAGGTTGCATTCTTCTTCTGTCCAATCGGTCACGTCTGTGATGACCGAGTCAGGGAAGTGTGTTGACAGCAGAAGCTTGATGCTATCTTCGAGGTTGGCAGTTTTTTGATAAGCGGACCAATGCCTCGGTGTGGATCTTTTGAGAGAGCTTTTTGAAGCCTCGATTTCTTCGCAGTAGAATCTCCATGCATCTCTGTTTTTGTCTGACGATTTTTTTGTATTCTCTGAGGTGAGATTTATAAGTATCCCAGTCCTCTTTGAGTTTTGTAGTTCTTGTCTTATTAAAGGATTTCCTAGCCATCTTCCTGAGGTGATCCAACTCGTGACACCACCATGCGGTAGTCGTCTGATCGTGTTGGACCAGCCTCAGGAGACAGGATTTCTTATAGGCATTGTTTAGTGTGCGAGAACTGCTCCAAAGCATTGTTATTGTTTGAGCCTCTTGGAGAAGGTGGGCATAGGTTGTCCTGTCCGTCCTGTCCTAGGGTTCCGAGATAGTGTAGAGGTCGGCAATAATAAGTTTATTTTGAATGTTAACCAGCGGTGGTTTGACATTGAAATGTTATCAGACCCTTGCCAGTTTAAAATTGATTTATAGATTCTATGAAGACTATAGATTCTAAGTTAAAGCGTTACGGAGATATTATTTTTTTTTTAATTTATGGCCTCTCTTTGGGCTTCTAAACTCCTTAGAAGTACAACTTGTTATGGTATAGAGGTAAGATGGGTTAAATAATCACATTTTACGACAGCCAACATGCACCTGTTTTGTGTCGGTACTTCTTTTTTATTTTATGACTTAGGTATATAGTGCCAGTCTCAGTTTGTGTTTGATTTTCATTTATGTGTGTTCTGTGTAGGCGTTGTTACTGTTTCCAAGCGCCACTTCAGGAACAGCAAATAGAACCCAACAGTGAATGGTCGGAGTGAGAAATCCTACCCAGGCATCAGAATTATTATTAAATAATTAAATTAAATAAAAAATCCCGGTCTACGTTGGGATTCGAAACGCGGACCATTGGATTCGCAAGCCCAGACTCTAACCACTGAGCCACTCACCCCCAGTGTCGGTACTTATGCTAATAAAAATGTTACTTATTTTTATTAAGTTTGAAACATACATGCAGAGTGGGTTACTCAAAACAGTCCACACTGAGTGAGTTCGGGCTACGCACTCTTTTCACTCTATTATAAAAGTTCCTTTTTGACCGTTCGGAGATTATGGAGTGAAGAGTGGATCGGGCATGCGCATAAGGTGATTTAAATCGATAATATCATAATTGTGACTTATTCTTTAGTAAAAAAAAGCATTTTTGGTTCCCGTGAATATTATAAATATGGAAGAAACTTATACGGTTATTACTGATAAGTACGATTCGATTTTAAGTACTGTTATGTCACATTGACAACATTGACAACTGACATTGAACTTCGAGAGTAAAACAACTAAAATCTTTTGCACACACCGTTTACGCCTAATTACTCTACTCCACTGTGGAGTGCGCAGCCCGAACTCACATATTAGGTTTGTTCGGGTTTCTTTAAAACTCGATGGAAACCATCCGAGAACCAGTGAAACAATTCAATTCCAAATTATTCGTCGCATACAACTATTAAACTATTCACTGGTCAACTAGTCCTCTGATAGTTCTCAATGTATTTTTGAAGAACCCGAACAGACCTAATGTTAATTGCCAGTATTCATTTTAAAGAAATGTTGGAACAGGTCGATTTTAGTTTGGAGTATGACACTTTTTTCTAATTACAGCATCGGCACTTCAACCCTCGAGCAGTGGGGTAAACAACCTCTACAATTTAAATAGGAAACGTACTTAAGATGACACATCATTGAAAAGGTAATTTCATGGAGAATGCGGTAATAAGACTATATTAATTACGTTACTTTTGATTTTAGCGCCCTCAAGTATGATAAAAATACTGTTACGTATTGTAAAGTGTGACACTTCAGTTGAAAGCTAATTTTATTACTAATTTAATGCAACATATAACTTTATTCTAAATATTTTCATATTACACTTACACTGAAAATTAGTCATTGTTTAAATTATTGCTAAGTTTTTTGTTGTATTGAATTAATTAATTAATAAAATTAGCTTTCAAATGAAGTATCACACACGTTATAATACGTAAGGTTTTTATCGAGCTAAAGGGTGCTAAAATCAAAAGTAACGCAATTATTAGTCTTATTTCCGAATTCTCCATCAAATTTTCTTTTCAATGATGTGTCATTCTAGGTACTTTCTATTTTAAAATTGTTGGGGTTTGAAGTGCCAATGTTGTATTTAGAAAAAAGTATCCCCAACCAAACTAAAATTTACCTATTTTAGAATTTTCTTAAAATCCAATGAATAATACTGCCAAATAATAGGGTAGACTGTTTTGTACATATATCAATCTCTATTTAAGAATGTCTCGTGGATGTTCATAAATCTGTATAAAATTTGAATATTAACTACAATAATAATTTGAAAAAATAGGTATGTCAGTTAGTAATCAGTGTCTGGATAACAACATTTTTTTCGCGAGAACATTAAAAAATTGTATTGGTAGGTGGGCTTTTTCCCTTTTAGAGGTCCTATCCCCTTGAAATTTTTCAGCACAGTCACACATAACACTACTGCCCTTCAAGGTGGTCTAGAGAGACTAAACGAGTGGTGCAAGGTGAACCATCCAGACCATCCAGTTCACTAGAGCGTTAACCCTTCTCTAAATCAATACAAAATCGGTAATACTGTACTGCAAAATGTCACATCTGTGAATGATCTAGGGGTGATATTTTGATATGGAACTGTCCTTTCGAGAACATATTGATTCCATTATCTGTTAAGCTTTCCGGATGCTAGGCTTTATTAAAAGAAATACTCAACATATGTATGATACTAAAGCAATCTTAACATTAAACAGCCTTGTTAGAAGCATTCTTGAATATTGCTCTGTCGTATGGCATCTTAATTACATCTGCCATATAGAGAGGATATAACGAGAGCGTAAATTCACTATTTGCTGTTTAAACACCACTTTCCCTACCAAAACGTTGGTTACGAAAGTAGACTGCTTTTATGTGGTATGCAAAGCCTAGAAATCAAGAAGACATGCACTAGTTCTGTTACTGTTTAAATTAATTAACGGTAAGATTGACTGTAGCGCCCTTTTACAATTAATTAGCTTTTTTGGCACCTACTCGACGTACATGTCATACTTCATTGTTTTTCATCAGAAGACAGAATCAACTATAGACAAAGAGCATTTATTGACCGTATGTGCCACATTTACAATAAGCTTTACTCCGACTGTGACCTATTTAAAAATAACGTTGTATGCGCTAAAGAGTAATTTGAAACTAAATATTTTTTTTTGTTTTTTTTTTTGAGCTTTAATATTTAAACCTATTTCTGTGTATGTGATTTTGTGAATGTGTTATTTTTGTGTAGGTACTCTACATACATGTATTTATTGTTAATTTTTTTTAACTCTGTGTACCATTTACCATAATTCTGTAGTGTATCTACCTATTTGAATAAATAAATAAAAATAAAATAAATAAAATTAGACGCCCCTTTGCCCTCGTGTGGCGGCGCCTATGCCGGCTGTGACACAGATGTACTTTTCTCAAACAGAACTCTTTACATGTTAGGTTTTTTACTGAATGCATCAAAGACGTTTATAAATATAAAGGTGTTTTTTTGTTAAATTAAAATCATTATCATAATAATGTATTTATTTTCTTATTTTTAAATATTTTATGGTTTTTAATGTAGGTAGCGCCATCTAAGTATAATCTATTAAAGTTTTTACATTCAATGCTGCCATCTGTGCAAACGTAACAATACTTCATACCGTGATAGAAAAGTTTCCTATATTCTGTGACATCAATTCTATTGACAGTGACAGATGGGTATTTAAATTATCTAATCTGTCACTGTCAAATAAACGTGGTGGCTCGTGGTTGTAGTAGTGGGACTTATCGTGTATTTTCTCTAAAACCGTACAATCGCTGCTGGAGAAATTACATCACATGGTACATTACGTATAAGTGAATGTGTGAACACAGATTTGCCTACTGCTGATAACGAAAAATCAGTTCAATTGACGTCCCGAATTTCTACGACCTACGATCACCTTGAATCAAGACAGTAAGTTTTCATTCAAAAATTATAAGTTTATATAATCCGATACAACTTTTCCATTCATAACAAAATTTTAATTTTCAGCATTCACACACAATGGCATCCATAAAATCATTAAATTTGTTAGGAAACCTAAACAAAGTTATTACAAGGAGGAATTTTACAACTAGTAATATAGCGGCTGCCAAGCAAATGACCGTCAGGGATGCCCTAAATTCGGCTTTGGATGAAGAAATGGAAAAAGACGACAGGGTTTTTATTCTTGGCGAAGAGGTAGCTCAATACGATGGGGCTTATAAGGTTACTAGGGGTTTATGGAAGAAATATGGAGATAAGAGGGTTATAGATACCCCTATTACCGAGATGGGATTTGCAGGTGAGTTGTTTTTGTTTGTTTATTATTGTAAATACGGAAACATTAGTTGGTCTACCAGTTAAAGTTTCTTGAAATGAATTTTATGCTAACATAACCCCACTTTTGTGCAGATGAACATTATTATGTTCATTCATACATTTGATTTATATCATGTATAGATTAAAAATGAAGTGTTAGAGTGTCAATTTCCTTTACTTAATTATTCTAAATTAGATTATTTATTATTTTGTTAATTTTGATTTTTAAACCTCACAAGCTTCGTTATACAAGTGTGGTTGTTATATTTCTAAAGGGGCTTCAATCAGTTGAATCTGTCAGTTCCTTAATTAGTATACAAGGTTTAACAGGTGATACTTAGGCTCTTGCAAATTTATGAAAATTGAAGTAGGAACATAAACCCTTTAAGTGCGTAATTTTTGGTATATACTGAAAGCTAAAGTTCAAAATATGTATGAATGAATTCAGAAATGAACTAGGCGTACCTCGGATAAATGTGCTGGTACCTTTACTGTGTTTATTATATATTGAATCGCATATTTTTGACTAAATCTTACTTTCTATAAATAATATTTCTATTGTGCGTTCAAGGTATCGCTACTGGGGCTGCAATGGCCGGTCTCAGACCTATTTGCGAATTCATGACGTTTAACTTCGCCATGCAGGCCATCGATCAAATCATAAACTCGGCCGCAAAGACATTTTACATGTCCGCGGGCCGCGTTAATGTACCCATTGTGTTCAGAGGACCTAACGGGGCAGCTTCTGGTGTGGCAGCCCAACATTCCCAGTGTTTCGGAGCTTGGTATGCTCATTGTCCAGGTTTGAAGGTAAATTACAAATAATTTTTTTTTATTTGCAATATTTTTACTTTGAAGTGTTTTAAATTTTAAGTATGTCCTTTAACCTACTTAATTTTTAACAAATTCAAATTACTGTGAATACTCAACAAGGAATGCAACTTTATTCAGACTCTCAAGAAATTCAACAGCGTTATTTGAAAAGTAATAGCTTAGATGAAGTGATTGTATGTAATTATTATTTGTAAAGTTTAACTTTGGCATACTTTGTGAAATAAACAGAAATTTATGCTACTTTTTAATGATAATATGGGTTCCCCATTAGACTGGGCCAAAAAAATAAAACAATTTTTTTTCTTAGCGGAACGATGAAAATATTGTTCATGACGACAAAAAAAAAATTCCTGAAAGTTTGAGCCCTTAATAATAATATTAAGAGGTGCATCATTGCAGTTATTGATTTTTCAACAGTTGTCGCGTTTTTGCATAAATTTCGGACTTGGTCAATTTTAAAAAAATTTTTCGTCTCTTATCCTTGTAGGAAATTAAATTCCCCACAAAAAAGCTCTCTTAGTAAATTTTCGTAAGACGAGTCTATTCTTTGTAATCTTAAGGACGGGGTATCCCTGTGTATTAAAATTGTATGTGTAGACCAAAAGTTAAATCGACAGTTTTCCGAATATGTAGTGTTTAAAAATCTAATTTTTGGCCAAATTAAAAATAAAGGTCTAACTATTGAAAATTAATAAATTTATTATTTTCAATAAAAACCAATCATGTAAAATAACCCCCTTTTATTTCATCTCAAAGGTGCCGTCTAGAATTATTTTAACCTCGATGTCAAACAAATAATAAAAAAAAATGTAATACGACCTAAGTTCAACCTTTACTTGGAATTTGGTACACTCAGAATATTTAAATATTGTATATTTTTCAAAACGTGTAGATTTGAAATTTATAAGTCACTTTCTTTGAAAAAACATGTCAAAACGAATTTGGACCAAAAATAAACCCCGAAAAATCAATAATTACTTCATGTAATGTAATAAAGATGGTGCTCCGATCGATAATATTTTGACTAGTATTTGATTATTTCCGTTTATATTAAGTGTGTTTACGGGGGATATACGAGATGATAATACTGCCTCTGATACTGTTTATATGATACAATTGGAAACGACCTTTTTTCATTGGCACTCTTTTTTCTGACCTTTTGACACGCGCCTATTTGTTATATGATGTATGATTATCGGTTATTTATCAACTAAAAGTATAGGAAATTAGTACATTGTGAATGATAATATCATTTTAATGCTATTTTTGAAACTAGTTCAAAAGTTGCATTTAACGATACTCAATGTTTCATTTTACCGTCAGTTTTAGTTTGACATATCCGTCAATTTATGTTTACAAAGCTCAGTTTCTATTCGAAAGTAAGAGAAACAGTGAAAATAAAATGCGAAAAACACTTTTTATCAATTTCGTTTATGTCAACTGAAAGCGACAATTGCTGAAGACGTAACAAATAAATTAGGTCGAGAAATAAAAAAATCTATACTATAAGTAACATACCATATATTATACCTGTTAAAATAAATCAAAAATAAGAGAACATATCGTTGACGTATATACTTTTCCATCTGTGTTTAGTGATTACCAATTGCAAATTACGTATGAACATGCTTCTGCGCAAAAAAAACCATTATTTCAAGTACTTGTATCATTAAAGTCCATTAAATTATAATTTTTATAAATTTGCTAATCTTTGCACTTTAAGTTTCATTATATGGGGTATCCAGACATTTTAATCCTCGTCCTCTTCTATTTAAAATTATCTCAGGTGCCATATATTCCGAGTAAAATTTTTCTAATTTTTCAACCATATTTTAAAAAAAAATGGGTTGAAAATGAATTTTTTCAACAAATAGTGGATTTTCATTATTTTAACATATTGAAATTTTTCACCTGGTAAAAGTAGTTATGGTTTTCTTTTAAATGAATGTCACCATCTTCTATTTTTAAGCATGGAAATGGGTTTGAATATTAGGTAATGTGCGCCAATAATGTCAAATTATGACAATTCGCAGAAAACGTTAACTTTTTATTTAGATTTTAATGTGCAAAAGCCTACCTACTTTGGATATTGATCGTAGAAAAAATATATTCAGAATAATGAAACATTATTATTAAATAACAAGTTTTTTTATTGTCAAATTTAATACGTAATATTATTTTTTAATTGCAAATATTTGAATGTTAAAATTATAGCGTTTAATTTTTTTATTCAATGACGAACTCGAGAGTGATAGAAAAAAAAATACTACCTACCTTTAATGCAGGAAGTCGATGTCAATTTATCCAAAAATAAAACTGATTAAAATGTACAATGAAACTCACTAGGACACTTGGCACAAATAAATCAATTTTCTATTAAAGAAAATAATACTTATTAAAAACAAACAGCACAATAAAACACTTCAGAAACGTGTGATGTAATTTTGAAAACTAAATACCCGTAAGCTTGTTTGTAAATTTATAGACTCTTAACTCCTTTCCCCAGCCTTCATTAAGTATATTAAAAGTCGTGACGTCACATTGGCACAGATATACGGTAATGTGTTATTGACAATCAGGGAAATGTTTCTAGGAAATAACTACCTAAGATAAGATAAATGAATGTTAAATACCTACTCATAATATCTATTGTAGGGTTTTTGTACTTTAATAGGATAAATATTTATGCGGGCCTGGAAATTCCAGGAAATTACAGTCAAAATTACCCAAAAACATTAGGTTAGTACCAACATCAGATAACAGATAACTTCGGTATTTAACCAATTAAGCACAATTAATATTCCTGAACATTCAAATGACAAAAACTTCCATCTTTAACCAATGAGAATATAGTTTTCATTCGATACTTCAAAATCACAATTTATTAATTAGGTAGAATAGTTTTAAAATATATTGCGAATTGCGACGCGTCAAGCGTCCCACTCCGACTCAATGTGACGCAATTATTGTGGCAATATATTTTGAAACGACTCTATATTCGTGACTTGAAATTATAAACATCCCTCGTATTGCTACCCGTATATAAACCAAATTATTTGTTTTAGGAAATATTTATATTTAATGTGAGGCAAGATATCGTTTTTGTTGTTGCCATCTGCATAATACCTACCTACATTCTTTACTTTGGTCCAGGAAACAAAGTCGATTTTCGTTAAAAATAAAATGTAATAGGTAGGTAATACTTTATGAATAAAAGTATTGAAATAAAGTATGCTCATACTCCAAAATGAGTCCTAGAGTTAACAATTTTATAATATTATAAATGGCATATGAAACGATTGGACCGTTTTCACAATCGCGAAATATTTTTTTTTTATTTGGTAAAATCCCGGCAATTATTGAAAAATAGATTTTATGTTCAGGACTATTATTATGATCCTACGAACTCAGTCTACTAAAAACCGGTTTATAATACAATATCCCCTAATAGCTAGTCGGTCGATATTTATAGTTACTTAAAGATTTCTGTAATAGTTTGCACTAATTCAATCTCTAGTCGGTAGGTAACAGTACCTCCTTGATTGAATCTAAATTGACATAATTTTGTTCAGAAATTCCTAGGAGACGCTGTCCTTAATATTTAAGTTAATTTTGGAAATCCCCAATGCAAAGTGAAAAATTGAAAATATATACCAATGTTTAAGGCTCGATTACAAAGAATAGACTCGTCTTACGAAAATTTACTAAGAGCTTTTTTGTGGGGAATTTAATTTCCTACAAGGATAAGAGATGAAAAAAATTTTTAAAATTGACCAAGTCCGAAATTTATGCAAAAACGCGACAACTGTTGAAAAATCAATAACTGCAATGATGCACCTCTTAATATTATTATTAAGGGCTCAAACTTTCAGGAAATTTTTTTTTGTCGTCATGAACAATATTTTCATAGTTCCGCTAAGAAAAAAAATTGTTTTATTTTTTTGGCCCAGTCTATTCCCCATATTTTTTAGCATATGCACCAGTAAATTCATTTTTAAGTTGCCCCAGTGTGCACTTTGTATGTCATCAAACTAGTACAGATTATTCTGGCTTCTGACATATACTATACAATTTTATATGCATTGTTTTCTGTGTAATATTGTTCCTGGCATTTATAAATATTATTAATAATATCTTGGAATTAAATTTTTTAATCAACTCTCTGACTTTATTAAATCTTAAAATCAACATATTAAAAGAAAATTTAAAAACTATTTAGAAAAGTCATATTTTTTACATTTTTTCTAATTATATTTTTTTAATATGTATGTCTCAGATGTATTTTTTGTGTTCTGTACTTTACTAATTTTTATTTATAGTATGACTTATCCCATATCATGTAATCCTAGAAGACATAAACTCCTATTATCTTTAAATATATTTTTTTCTCTTTCCCATTTTTTTTTTTTTTAATAATATACTTATTCGCATTTCAGGTGATTTCTCCGTACAATTCAGAAGACTGCAAAGGTCTGCTGAAGGCCGCTATCAGAGATCCAGATCCAGTAGTGTTTTTAGAAAACGAACTTTTATATGGTGTCCAATATACGATGTCGGACGAAGCTTTAAGTAAAGATTTTGTATTACCAATAGGGAAGGCAAAAATTGAAAAGCCAGGTAAGAATTTTTATTTATAATGACCTGATCGTTTACCAGATTTGCTCTATAGATTTTTTTAATTGAAAATGGTTAACAAACGGAAATTTTTTATGACATTTCAGGAAAAAGTAGATGATGCAGAGATAACCTTTTTTTTTCTAATAACTGCCCGTTCTCCAGATTTGACTCTATAGATTTTTTATTTAAAAGGTTGAGATAATTGAAATTTTTTAAAGAAAACATTGAAAGAAAAAGCAGAGATTACAATTTTTTTCAAGTGTTCCCTTTAAAAATATTTAGAAAAGTTAAATTTTCAATTCATTTTCAAGAAAAAGTTGAAAAGACAAAGATAATTATTTTTTCGACCTGCCTATTTTCCAGTTTTGTCTCTATTAATTTTTTCTTTATTAAATGTTTAGGAAACTGAATTTGGGACTGATTTTCAAGAGAAAGTTGAAAATGCAGAGATTACCATTTTTTGATGACTCCCTTTTTACATTCCTAGTATCGTATAGGCATCATGATTTTTTGGACTTCGAGTTTTCAACGGATTTTTACATTTTATCGTCCTCAGAATCTGTTTTGACAATTTTTGCGAAGATGTCTGTGTGTGTGTCATCAAATTTTAAACTTACTTAGGCCTTAAGTCTTAAGTCTTTTTGTGGTGAGCTGCTTAGATTTTGAGAATAGTCGGAACATCTGGAGGGGGGGTACATTATAGAGGGCCGTTTTCTACTTTATGAAATATCTGTTATTTACGCTTGGAGAAGAAAATTCAAGTAAAAGTTGCTTGTAATATTATTCTCTATAATATTTGTCCTATTCATAATTTTCCTAAAATGGTCTGTATTCGAGATATTTGAGAAAAAGTGCAAATTTCGAATTTTGAAGATAACTCAAAAATGGATAGAAAGGAAAACACCAAATTTTAAATGTAAGCATTAATCCATTCTGCAGTGAACTGATTCAATTTTGGGCATATTCGGAATATCTGGGGGTTATTTTATGGGTTGTCATTTTTTTACTTCATGGAATATATGTGATTTATGCTTGGAGAAGAAAATTCTTCAAATAAAAATTGCTTGTAAGGTTATTCTCTATAATTTTTGTTCTATATATAATTTTCCTAACATCGAGAAATTTGACAAAAAGTGCAAAATTTCAATTTTTAAGAAAGTTGTGTGTTTTCTTTGGCAATGAATATATAAAAAAAGTTTCGAGTAAAATGTATGTGGAAAATGTATGTATTTAGTTCATCCTCTAAACATTTACAGGGGCGATACAAAAAAAAAAACGAAAAAAAAACTAATAACTATAAATAAGGAAAGTTATGTGTTGAACACTACAGATTTTTGTATTGAAAATGTTTAAAATAAATGTTCGATCAATTATCAAGAAAAAGTTGAGAAGGCAGAGATTATTTTTTTTTCTAACAAATTGTCCATTCTTAAAATTTGTTCCTATTGATTTTTTTAATTAGCTATGTTTACATAAGTTCTCCAGATTTGAATCCTATTGATTTTTTTTGTTAATGTTTAAGAAAGTTACATTTTCGAATAATTTTCAATAAAAAGTTGAAAAAGGAGATATAACCATTTTTTTAATGACCTGCCCGTTCTACAGATTTGTCCCTTTGGATTTTTTAATTGAAAATATTTTTCGATTAATTTTCAAGAAAAAGTTGAAAAGACAAATATTTGTTTTTTCGAACGACCTACAAGAGAAAGTTGTGATTACAATTTTTTTCGATAATAATATTAATATTTATTCGGCTTTGAGACATACATATTTACAATATTTTAAAAACGTTAAAAAGTGTATAAACATATAAGACCTATTAGCCTTGTCAACACATACAATTTTAAAAAGTAGAGACATGCTACAATCGAGTTTAAAATAAAGTGTGAAATACATATAATAATAATAATAATTAATAATAATAATAATAATAATTTATTTGCAGTATTACAGGTAAATTTGCATTAAATACATAAATTTTATCGAGCAAAATAGTATAATACTACAAAAAGGGAATAGCAGACAGCATAGCTGATATTAATTGCTATCCCTAATAAAGAAAAGAAAAATATTAAAATAATAAAATACAACGAATAAAGTGTGGCACAATCGAGACAAAAATATAAATACACATTTTATAAATGTAATATTACATTTTATTATAATATCTAATGGTTGTTTTGACTAGATATTTTCTGACATCAAGAGATGTTTATACTTTTGCTTAAACATATTTGTCGAAAGATGTTTGAGTTTAGGAGGAACCAGGTTATATAGTTTAAATATCATATAAGAGAATGAACCTTGAAATTTGGAGGTACGATGGAGAGGTGGAGATATATGCCCTCTATACCTTGTATGCACATTATGCACATCACTTCGAAATGTAATTTTATTATAGAGATAAGGAGGCGACTTTAATGAAATGATCTTATGATACAATGTTACCATGTGTAAATTCCTTCTAGTTTCCATATTTAACCAGTTAGTTTCAATTAGTTTGTGACTTATCCTTTCGTATTTTTTTATACCATATATGTAGCGAAGACAAGAATTTTGTACTCTTTGAATACGATTAATATCCACATAGTCAATACAAGGCCCGTAGACGACATCGCAGTAATTAAAATGACTGAGAACCATAGTATCACAAAGAAGTATTTTTATATTTTGATCTAAAACATGGCGATGCGGGTAAAGCATTTTCAAATTAGCGTAAGCCCTTTTTATACAATTATTTACATGGCTTTTAAATTTTAAGTCAGTATCAAGATGAAGACCCAGATTTTTGGCAACATCTACACAAGACACCATCAATACTCACAGATAAATGTTCTGCTAGTTCTTTTTTATTTTTTCCAAAGACGAGTATTTGTGTTTTTGCGGGATTGATAGTTAGCTGATGTCTGTTAGAAAAATTTACGATTTTTATTAATTCTGAGTTAATCAGTTCATTAGTAAGAGCAACATTAAAATCAGACAAAGAAAACCTTATTTGCGTATCATCAGCATATATATAAACTCTGCCATTGGTAAGAGCCGAACTAATATTAGTAGAGTAAATGCAAAACAAAATTGGTCCCAAAATAGAGCCCTGTGGCACACCGCAGGCAATATTTTTAATATCAGATCTACCGGCACTTGTTTCAACAAACTGTGAACGATCGGAAAGATAGTTTTTAATAAATTCAGTTGCTTTAACCGAAAAACCAACATAGTGAAGAATACTGAACAGAAGCTGATGGTTAATTGTAATCAGTAAACAATTTGAAATCTTATTTGAGTGGTCTATAAAGAGATATGACAAAAATGTCCTTATTATTAAAAATAAATTTATTTCGATAACTTTCTCAATAGTAAAATTGCAGTATACAGGTTCTATTAACATACTACTTTTTGCATAAATAGAGACTCCACCTCTTTGGTATTGTGTCCTACAATACTTAGTTATCAAAGAATAATCACCCCAGCAAACATTTTCTTTAACATTAGTTATAACTCGACTTTGTTAAAGACGAATTTACTTATTGAGGTAATTATTACGTAAAATTGACTAGAAAAATATACCTCTAATGTAAATTTACCAAACGGTTTTAATTTATATATAAATTTACGTAAATTATACCAAGAAATCTACTTTTTACACAAATCTGCTTAAAAGTAACTTTAACCATATCAGCAAGGGAAAACTACTAAAAAAAATAACCAACAATTACTTCAAAGTTAAATTTCCTTTGTAGTAAAATTAGGTCCCATATTTAGGTAATATCTACCTGTTTGGCAACTAAAAATCGTCTTTATAGTAGAATATCCAACTAGGTAGATTTGGTTAAAAATTCTACGTAATTTTATGCCTCCATAGTAACCTATTTGGCCGCTTTTTAACCGACTTCAAAAAAGGAGGAGGTTATCAATTCGTCGCGATATTTTTTTTTATGTATGTTCAGCGATTATTCTTTAATACGGTGTCCGATTTTAATGATTCTTTTTTTGTTAGAAAGGGGGTATTTCAGGGGTGGTCCCATATAAATTTAGTCAAAATCTAGTAATTGGGTCCATCAGAAAATCCTCAAACTCTTCATTTTTTATGTATGTTCAGCGATAATTTTTTAACACGGTGTCCGATTTCAATAATTCTTTTTTTGTTAGAAAGGGACTACTTTAGGGGTAGTCCCATATAAATTTGGTCAACATCTAATAATTGGATCCATGAGAAAATCCTCAAACTCTTCATTTTTTATGTATGTTTAGCGATAATGCTTTACCACCTTGTCCGATTTATACGATTCTTTTGTTAGTAAGGGGGTACCTCAGGGGTGGTCCCATATAAATTTGGTTAAGATGTTGTGATGGCATCTGCACGTTTTTGAAGTCGGTTTTTTTAAATTTTTAATTTGTAATACTTGTATTTACTCTCCTTTAAAGTAATATTAGGTCGAGATCGTAGCAAAATTCTACCTGTTTATCTACCTAATTTCAACCAAATAGTCGAATACTCATTTAGTTGACCTATAAGTCATCTTGAAGAAATATTTATTAACTTTGTTGTAGCAATTACCTGAAAAATCTACCACAAAGTAAATTCGACTAAAAACCACAAATTTAGAAAGAGCCATACATGACCTATTTGTAAAATTTATACTATTTAGGTTATTTTAACAATTAGGTTGTTCAGTTACTGTCTTCGTCATTATTCTTAAGAATTTCGGCCATTTTAAAAAAACCATTACAGTCGTAATCTTAATTTACGTGTGGTGTAGATAGAGCTCTAAATGAGTGCGAAAAATAATTAATAAAATGAGTTCGAAAAATAATAAATCATATCGTTATACTTCCCATTTTTATCGTAAAGTGAGACGTCTAAAATCTCAAGTGCAGAACAACGTGACCTAAATATGTTATATTTACCTATAGGTAAATTTTTTATAAAACCTATAAGTTATTATTTCTTTAAATAGGTAAAGTTAACTAATATGTCGTGAAATTGAAGTTAATTCAAC